CTAAAATATTAATTTACCCTCCGGCAGTACAGCTGACGGCGAGCTGCTTCTCAGCCAGCAAGTGGCATTTTATTAAAAAATAAAGGAAAATCGTTCCCTCAATGACCTTTCTCTGCTTTAGGAAACAATTTTTCAAAGAATAATTTTTAAAAGCATGCCAAAGTTCCCCTCCCTCTTTCACCACATGCCCTCGTCCCGCTCCCTCCTGGCCTGCCAGGAGGGCCCATGGGCAGCGCTGGCGGTGCCGGCTGTGGGGCAGCCCAGAGCCAGGGGGTGCCAACAGGCAGAGCCCCCCCGACCCCACACTGCCAACCAGGTCCTGGCCATGCTCAGCAGGAGGCCGTGGAAGCACCTGGGAAACCATGCTGAGACCGCCTTCAAGGGTTCGCTTGCTCCTAGGGTTAACTGCCATTTGAGGGTGAACTGGTCACGTCCAAATTTATTCGCCCATTTCTGCTCCTTTATTACCCCCTTCCCCACCTCCAGTCCCCTGGACAACCAGGTGGCTTCTCATTCCCTCCTCTCCATATCATCAGGCACTCATTCCTCCCGCTGGTAGGGCAGCTGATGGGAGTAACTCACCTGCTTCCAGTGCCACAGAGGGCTTGAGTGCAGCTGCTGCCAGCCTGGCCATCATAGGAGAGATTAATCCCTTGCTAGCAGAGATCCTTTCCATTATGGATGCCGCTGGAGCCGGAGAAGAAGTAGCCGAAGGCTCACCAGATCCTGAGATGGCCTGGGATGAGGAATCTGTAGGAGCAGATGACGTTGGATTGGCGCCGGCCGAGCCAGCAGCCATCAGATTAGCCGAGCTGGCGGGCAGCGGCGTGGAGACCCGGCTGGGGATGATGGGGAAGAAGGATCCAGCTGTGCCAGGAAGCGCTGAGTTGGAGAGTGCCAGGGCCAAGGGAATATTGCTGGGAAGAGCCTGGGAGAGCAGGCCAGAGATCTTGGTGGCTGGTGTCATGCTGTTGGCAGGCTTGCTGGCCTGCGAGGAAGCGAGCTCGGCAGCAGAGGAGGGCGCAGCTGGGACTATGAGAGAAACGGAAGACTGCTGACTGGTGGGGGAGGCACTCAGGCTGGAGTTCTTGGAGCTCATAGCGGAGAAGTCAATAAGGTCATCGTTACTGGACTCCTCTTGCTCGTTATCCTTGGATCCCAGGAGAGAGGCAGGCAGGCCCAGCACTCCCGAGCTCCGGATGTGCCGGCGCTCGTGCTTGCGTTTATGGGAGGTCATCTGGCTGGTGGAGGTGAAGGTGAAGCCGCAGCCTGCCCTTATGCAGTGGAAGTGGTTGGTGGCCTTGCTGTAGACACAGCCCTCGTACTTGCATTCCTCATACTTGTAGAACTTCTTGAAGCCATCCTTGGCATAGGCATCATCTTTGATGTGGTAGCTCTTGTGCTTCTCAATGTCACACTTGTTCTTGAAGGTGAAGGTGCACCCAGGTCGCCTGCAAGGGCATCGAGGAGGAGAGAGTGGTTGGCTGTGCGGGCTAGGAGCACAACGCAACTGCTGTCACCTGCCACCCTCTGGGATAAGGACTGGGGCCAGGATGAGACAGTGGCCCTGGCTGCAAAGGGGCTAAGGAGCTTTATGTGGGCCAACCTGTGACACCAAGTCAAGGAAAAAATGCTGCTGTGTGAGAGCCTGGAAGCCAACCCGACACTGAGAAACAACCAGGATAACATGGGGCTGCAAGAACCCCACTGCAAGTTCCAATCAAAACAGCAGCTAAAGGGGACTAAGATACAAACTGTGCTTTCCCACTCTTCCTGAAAATGTGAGAAATCAATAGAAGAGCATTTGTGTACAGAAGGCAGAGTCTGGCCCTGAAAGGGAGGAGCTGGCTGGAATGAGCTCTAGCATGAAAGTGCCATTAGCAGTGTATTAGTGCCCTCCCCCACCCCCGAGTTGAACACTGTCAGGGATGAGCGCTGTGATCGCGTTCCCCAGTGATTCCTGGATCTGTTTTCTTTATTTCCTCAGATCACTGCAGACAATGACAATCCTGGGAACCACATCTGCCCCGGAGCACGAGCTCTCACAAGAGCAGCATGGAGAAGGCCATGCCAGGGTAGACTGAAGCCCTGTGCACAATCCTGAATTTACGACGTGGCAGGAGGCAAACAGACCCTCCATCTCAGAGGCAGGATTCCCATCCTTTCCTGCTATCTCACCTGCAGTGAAAATGAGTGGTTTTCTGCCCGTAGAACTGGCATTCCACAGTGCCACAGTCCTCCGTGGCACGGAACCGCTGAAACCCGTCGTTGATGAGCTGCGTGTTTTTCTTGTGAAAGTTCTCATGGGTCATCACGTCCGAGGTGCTTGTGTAGACCTTGTTACAACCCACCTACCCCAGGCAAAACAGGGAGTCATCAGTATAGTGTTCTAATACCACAATCTTATTAACATCAGCGATAATAAACATATGAGCAGCACACATACATTTCGGAGTTCCATTTGGACATTTCTCCTAGGAGCATTAAGTCATCACTTTAATTCCCAGTTTAAAGACTGATAGAGCAGTCACGAACAAAAGCAACTCTCCGGGCAGAAAAAAGGGGAGGATGCAGAGATAAAAGACCAGCTACAGATAATCGTGTCTGTGTGGGGAGGAAAGAAGCAGAGTTCCTGCTCCTAAGGAGAAAAGAACAGACTGACAGATGTCATTACTTTTTGTCATCTTGGAGCAACATGGAACAGAGCAGGACTTGTGTCTATTTGCGGGATGTGAAATTGCCTGGGAATGAGTTATTTACATCTTCCTTCCTTCTAAAAGAAAGGCCGGGTAGTGCAACAAGAGGCCAATCTTTTGAGCTCGTAATATGCAGGTCTCATTTGAGCAAAGCACATACCCTATGTTCAGCTGATCTTAGCAAACTGGTGGCTTTTTTTCCCTGTCACTGCTCAAGACTACCAGTTCAATAATGTTAAACTCGTGGAGCAAAATGGGAATGGTGTGACGAGGACGGAATGCTGAAAACCTGCCTTCCTCTGGGTAAAGCGGGCAACTTTGCCATATTGAGTAAAAAAACACTGGAATCTGAAAACGTCCTCAGCCCTGCTGAGGGAGGATTTTTTTTTTTCCTTTTCTTCTCTAGCACAACGTGTGCCAATGCCTGCACCATCTCAGAAGTGAAGAGAACGAAAACACCACCTCTCAGTTCAGCCCAGGTTGATTCAAACAGGCAATAACAAAACCCATGACAAATACCCAGAAAAAAAAATAAAAAGGATCTCCAGCTATTTCCAATATAAAAGAGCCTCTCTCTCTCTGCACTGACACCTTGAAAAAAGACAGACCCTGCACGGCATTAAAAAAAAGAATTAAACAAAAACCTCCTTAGGAATAATTTGCAATGCAGCTCTTGGTGCTAAAGCCTAAAAAAATGTCAGTTTATATAAACAACTAACTGAATTTTATCCACACCAATTATGGACATAAAGAAAAAAAAAAAAACACATGAGATGGATGGCACAAATCCTGCCATTTAAGCAATATTTTCTTTAATTGGGAGTTTATGTTCGGACACCTTTCCTGTAAGACACTGCTTACATGGGCATTATTTTACTGGAAGACAGTGGGCACAGAATGGAATTACCCATATATAGCTGTGGAAAAGAGGGTCTCTATTCAAAGGCAGAGCGACTTAAAGCTGTGAAACGTTCCTTGTACTCTAAAAAAAATTAAACAAATCCCATCCTGGTCGATTGAAGAAACTGAGCAATGAATATTATGAAGAATAACAGAAAATGTCCTCAAGAGAAAGTCACATGAAGTTCCCAATTTATCAACAGCTTGTAAGCACATGCTTAAACCAGCCCCTATTCAGGACAGTACTTGAGTGCATGCCTAACGTTTAAGTATGTGCTTAAACCCCATTGACTTCAGAGAGCTTACCTGACTTCAAGTCAAACATATGCTTAAGTCTATCCCAGCAAAGCATTTAAGCATGTGATTAAGGCCTTGTGACTGTAACCGGGGTCTTAAACTGCTGGGATCGGGCAGGAAGGGAGACAGGAGTCAGAAAAGCTTTCACTAAGGACTGCCTGGTGGTTCTCCCTTTGCAACATTCTCAAGGCAATGGTTTAGGCCACGATTTTAATGAAACAAGCATACATCAAACCCTCTAATCTAAGGCACAATCAGGGTAAGACCTAAACAATTTGGTGTGTCCGTGTTTAAAAACAGCAAAGGGGTCACAGCTAGATCCGGGCAGCAGCCCCAGCTCCGGGCACACAGCTTGGAGCCTGGCTCACAGCTGTGAACCAAAGCTCACAGCTGCCACTACAGAAAAGTAAACTCCAGTAGCACTGGCGGAGGAGATGGAGAACCAGGGGTGTCAAGTCTAGATAGGTGACATTAAAATTTAATTACTTTAGAAACTGATTATGGAGGAAATGAACCCAGTGTTAAAGGGCAGATGTTCCACAGAAAAGTCTGATTTTAAGGGAGTACCAGACCAGATTTGGTGGAGGCAGCAGTGCTGCTGCAGAGAGGCCCCCAAATCTCAGAGAAGGGACTTGCCTGAACAAGTGAAGCCCAAGACTGCCAGGAAACCTTGAGCCCTTTGCCTCACTGCATGCACAAGGCTTCTACAACTAAGTAGAAGTGGACAAGAGCAGTGAGGGAACAGCCTCTCCAGAGAGGAGCCTGAATCAGAGGCGAGCAGGAGAGGCTCAGAGCACTTTGCATCGCCCCTTTGCTCTCTAGCGAGGAAGGGTTGGGCTGCCTGGACACGAGACTCCTTTCAGCCCACCCAGAAAGGACTCAGCTCACACAACAGCTCTCGGTTCACTTCAGGTGCTAGCACGGAGTCCCCGGCGCAGCGGTTACCTGCATGCAGTGGTAGTGTGTGCTTTTCCCGTTCAGGTGGCAGCCGTGGTAGTACACGCTGCAGTCATCCAAGGGGCTGAAGCGCATGAAGCCGTGCTGGAGGGAGTTATCACGTTTCTTGTGCATGTTGTAATGCCGAATCACATCCTGTTTACTAGTGAATCTCTGGAGAGATACAGAGACAGACAGAGTGAGACACACGTGATGGGAGTGGGTGAGTAATCCTGGGGGCAGGGATTGTTGTTGTTGTTGTTAATAAACTTATGGTACCGGGAGTCTAAAGCTCGGCAGCGGTCACCCCAAGAGAGTCAGATTAAAGACAAACCGTGTGCGTGTATTTTCTTGGTAAAGGGCAAGGGTATGCACATGAAAACTTTGAAGTAAACATGACACTGGGGTGATGTCCGGAATATGCTCCCTGCAGCTTTAAGGCTGCAATTCTTCTAACATAATTTTAGCTGCTACTATCTCAAGAACTGCTATAGTTAGAAAGCAAGCCAGTGAACTAAACAGCCTGCAAGAGAGTAATCCCAGCTTCCAAATCCCTCTCTGTAGTGGTTAGCAAGGCACTGGCTGCCACACTCATGTCAGACTAGAAACTGGGAAAAACACTCTGCTCTTTTATAGCATCTTCCCGTTATCAGTCGTCTGCCACCCCTGCAAGGTGGGATCAGGGAACGGGTGCAGAACTTTCTTCCAGTCACAGGAAAAGCTGGTAGCAGAGCTCCGAGCTAAATCTGGATGACCAAAAGATCCCTTTCACCGTCTACCTGCTTGAAGTACTGAAGGGGTACCCCACTCTCGGAGCAGGCTAAGTGCCTTTAAAATGAAGCTTTTCATTTCTACTTCCCACAGACATCAATATTTAACAGAGAAGGTGGGAAAGTAAATCTGATTTTTTAAAAGAAATCAATATCCATTTATTTTGAGGAGTAATTGGAAAGGCCTGTATTCTAATGTTTAACAACTTTTCCCAGTCTCCCTCACAGGAAACAAATGATTATCGCTTCCACTCTTTCCTCCTATAATATCAATCCTGATCAATCTCGTTGGTATTGGCATGGGAATAGATGGATATAGATTTCACCGGGAATCCCTTGGAGGCTGGAGGTATGATTTCCCAGGGCGTACGTACAGGATTGCTATTGCCAATCATCGTTAATTTGTGCCCACTTATTACAGAGCGTTACTTATTATAAAATATATCTCAGCCATAAAATAATTTGCATTTTAAAAAGCAGCCTAAATCCTTATTCCCTGCGAGACCAGACAGCTCCTTTGCAAGCAGCTTCCAGACTCCTTAGGAAATAATCATGAGGCCAATCATAATAATTTTTTTTTTCCTGTCTTTCCATTCTTTGTGTTTCTCTCTTCGTGGTGCACCGTGTCGCAGTTGGGACAGCCTCATCTCGATTACCTGGCTGGGCTGGCAGGACACTGCACACATCCCAGAGAAAAACCCTCCTTGGATCAATAGAAACCCGCCGCGGAGCTCAGCAGAGCCAGATCAACTTCCTGCGCTGTGGTCAGACTCGTTCCTTTGAGACCAGGAGGTCTCCTGGGGTAGGGCAGGACTGGTGTCTGCTGCACGGTGGAGGCGAGCTCTGGGATTCCCCCTTACACACACGCAGCCTGACCACAGAAGTGGCAGAGGCGAGCTCGCAGACCTGGGCCGAGGGTAAACACTCCCGGCACGTGACTCGGCTGCCTTGACGTCGCTGCCCTGGCACTACTCCCAGCAATTACGGCATCGCACATGCTCCTGCCCCCACGCTCTCCCCACAGATCCCGGCCTGCTGCTGGTCTTATTGGGTGTTTTGTTGCAGCTACTGCTGCTACAGCCTCGCTCGGGCAGCAGGAGGGGAAGAGGCAGGCTACCAGAACAGCATGCCCTGGTTTCGGGCACAATTTGTAACGAGGCAGAATTTATTCTCCTGGTTTCGCTGATGTAAATCTGGAGTAGCTCCCACTGACTTGAGCTGATCTATATTCTAGCAAATTCAAAATATATCTTGCCCTCTTTTCGGAGACAAAGAGCGATGAGGCATGTGTGCATGTGGGACGGAGCACGGGGAGGCACGAATCTTCCCGAGGCAGGACTCGGGGAGCTGCGCTGATCCCTGCTTCCCGTTGCCTTACCTGGTAGTTGCACTCTGGGTCAAGGCAGTGGTAATGTTCTCGGTACTGGTATGCACAGTGTATGTGTCCACAGTGCTGGCTGCCAGAGAACCTGCGAGCACGAGAGAAGCACAGAAGAGAGAAAGGAAGAGAGAGTGAAATGGTGCCCTGTCCTGGCAGCAGTGTCTGTAAGCACGGCACAAAGGGAGTAGGTCCCACTCCTGCATCCCACGTGTTCAGGTCATCAAACCCTATCAACTTGACCACCTCCGAGGATGGTGATCCCTCCCACCTTCCCTTTGTTATTTGTCACTGCTTAAAAAGGTGTTTCCTGAGCAAGATCTTTCTGGGCTTTTACCTCCCCGAGCCGCATGTGCTTTTCTTGGAAATTCACCTCCATTCTTTAGAAGCCGCTTACCTGGGAAGAGCAAGCAAGTGCGGCTGGTTCCCTGAACTAAACACCACACAGATCGAGTTTGGATACCTCAGCAGTGAGTTTCAGAAACTTCCCACACCACGAGGAGACAAATTAACATCGGTCAAATACAGACCCTAGGCATGTGCGCATCCAGCAGGACCTCCGAAAAGCTCAGGCATTCGTTTGTTTGTACAAGTTATGCCTCGGTGTTTTTCTTTCTGGTTGCAATATGGTGTCACGCTACTGGGAAGGCTGCAAGGCAGCAGAGGGTAAGCCACAAAGGCAGTGGAAAATCGTGGCACGATTATGTAGGAGCTCTTCCAGTGAGATGGAGAGTAAGGGAAGGACAGGGCGATGGAGCAGCAGGGCCAGGATGAACGCTGCAGGCAGACCTGTGTGCACGTCCCTCCCCATGCACAACAGCGCTGACCGGTCCCGCTAATCATCATTTTCCACGTGGATGCAGATTTGCTCACGACAAGGTACTGCAAGGCAGAGCCACGGGGCTTCCAGCCTGCCTCACGTGCAGGTGAGAGCAGGGCACAAGGACAGCAGCCAGCAACGCGCACCCGCTCCATTCACCTCCACCCAGCCCTCCACACAACAAATCTGGGAAGTCCTGGCATACGGGGTGGGAAAAAGGGCAGAAAGGCTGTATGGTATCTGCAGATAAATGGACGCTTGGGCTGCCAGACAGAGCAGTAACTGGGGAAGGGGTGGTGCAGCACCGGGCTGCTCCGGGCAGGGATCTCCGGTGCGTGTTCCAGAGGAACCTGGAGGAGCTGAAGAGCTTGAAAGGGAAAAGCAGCGGAGGGAAGGGGACTCAGAGGGGAAACATTGAAAGATAAAGTGCCATCTGCTCAAAGGTTCCTCACGTCACTTTGTGCTAAACGCACCGGGAGCGCACATGATAAAGGGCATCGGAAAGAAATGAGGAAGGAGAGAGGGAAAAAAAGGGAAAAAAGGGAAAAAAGGGAAAAAAGGAAAAAAAGGAAAAAAAGGAAAAAAAGGAAAAAAAAGGAAAAAAAGGAATAAAAGGGGGGTGAAGGTGTTCTGGGGCAATGGGTGGAGGGGGCAGGAGCAGGGAGGATTATGGAGTGTTGTAAGGGGCACTGTGTGAGCACTAAGCTGCAGGGCAGGAAAGGGAGCCGGGATGAAAAGCAGCACTAAATACACGTCCTGAAGTGCAGTGAGGAAGAGGAGGTCAGCTGTGGAGACAGCAGGGCCTCCTGGAGATGGAGAGGGGGCTTAATTGACAGAAAAGATAGACAATGCTAAAAAATTAAATGCCTTCTTTGCCTCAGCGTTCACAAAGGGAGACGGGGACAGATGCCAGGAGCAGACTTGCCTTTCCCTGGGGAAGGAGAAGAAATACTGCAGGAAATCGGGATCACGCCAGAACAGGTGATTGAGAAACTGGAACAAACCCCGGCAGCGGAGAAGAAACAAACCACAAGGCAAACAGCAACGCTGGCTGCGCAAACAGAGGTGTGGAGCTGGGAGGGGAGGCAGCGAGCCCGGCCGGCGGCGGGGCAGTGGCGAGGCTCGCACGGGGCACGGGCAGCAGCCTGAGTCACCGGGACACCAAGCAGCACCCCAGCAGCCCGTCCTGCTGCTCCGGGGCTGCGTGTCAGCAGCCTGGAAAGGCCGAGGAACTGCTCGGTGGAAAGCTTCCTCCCTGCCGCAGGGATGAGATGGGGAGGAGAGAGCAAAGGGCTGGAGGGCTGGGGAGTGCTGGCCAGGCAGGGAGGAGGGGAAGACAGAGAGCTGGCAAAGGCAGCGCTCCGGCAGAGCTGTCCAAAAGGGCATCCCAAGCGAGGATGCGAACGCAGCAGTGATGCCAACTGCAGCAGCAGAAGGGCCAGGCACCAAAGCAATCTGCCTGGATGGGATGAGTTACTTGGAGCATCCGAACAGGAGCCGCTCACAGGCTCAGCTCCAAGGGCATCAGCTGAGTGAGCTCCCCGGCCCTGCAAACCCTGCCCTGGCAGAGGTGTGAGTGTGTGAGTGTGTGAGTGTGTGTGTGAGTGTGTGAGTGTGTGTGTGAGTGTGTGTGTGCATGGGTGGCAGTGGCTGTGGGTGTGTTTGTGGGGTGCCCGGCGCAGGAAGGGAGCGGCGGGCGCTCGACCACGCTGAGCGCGCGGGGAAGGAGGGAAGCGGCACGCACAGCACCACGGGGCGAGGCGGCTCCTGCAGGCTGCAGGGCCAGGCTCCTAAAGGGTTATCTTTATCCTCTGTTTCTTCTGACACTTGAAACAGTTCAAAGCTATTAATTTTTAAAGCACAGCATCTGTTTAGCTTTTCCCTAACAGGAAAGCTCGCGCAGCACACACTCACTTACACGCACACACACGCGCCCATCTCCGTGCCCTGCTCCGAGGAGCATCGACACCCCTGGTAATTTACAGGACCGGACCCGCAGTTTGCATGCACATGAGCAGGCACGAGCACACGCACACCTGATTGCAAACTCGCAGCCCATTTCAGCACGCCGATATGCAAATCCAGGCTCCTGAGTTGTGCGCACAGGCACAGAGATTCATTTTCACAAGTGCAACTCCCTCCCCCTTCCCTTACTTTAATCTCTTCACTTTTTTTTTTTTTTTCTTTTTTGCCAGAAAGAACTAGTCTCGATCTGGCAAGAGTTAGAACGAAAAACCAAGATAAATAAATAATAATAAAAATAATAAATAAAGAAGTCAGCATGCTTAGTGAGTGTTTACAGACTCATTACCCTGTAACGATGATGTGAAAGAAGGAAGAAAAAAACCCACCCCAATTACAAGGGGGGGAGGAAACCCACACAGAAATAAATATTTAAGCAAGTGCTGCCAGAAGCACCATCTGCTGAGGCACTAATAATAATAATAATAATTTTTTCTGTGGTCTTTTTTTTTTTTTTTAATTATAAATATAGAGGGGGAAAAAAAAAGCACAAAAAACAACCCAACCCAAACTAGCTAAGTAAGAGGTTTTGTTTTGTTGTGTGAGAGAATGGATTATCCCTGGGCAGCTTTTGGCAGTGGCTTTGGCAAACTCATTAAGCTAATTATGCAGCGCAGACATACAGTGTCGTGTCTCTCTCCCCCCCCACCCCCCCCACCCCCTTGATTTTAAGGCTTTAAACTGTTTTTAAAATTGTGTGTAAATTGAAGGGAAGTGGCTGTGCTGCCAACGGGCGGCTTGCGGAGCTCTCTGAGCAGGATGTGGTGTCCCTGAGCTATCTCACAAGCCTCCCTCGGTTACCTGCCTGACCCCGGGGAAGGGGCTTGCAGAGCGCTCCGAGGTGTGGATGTGGTCGCGATTACACGGGGCTCTGCTTCAGAGGGGAGCTGGGGACAGAGCGGGTGGCATCGCCTCTCCCTCTGCAACCTCCGAGCACAACCGAGCTGCGTCTCAGCAGTAAAAGGGCGCTGCTGCTCCTGCCCCACACCAAGGGCTTGGAGCCCTGCTCTCATTCCCAGACCCTCCCAGGAGGCAGCAAGGGGCTGATGTGTGTGCAAGACACCTACCGGTGTCTTTCCGTAAACGGGGCTGGCATGGTTAGCTCCGTGCCAGTACGGAGGGAGGATCCAGCAGGCCAAGAGCAGGGGCTGGTGAGTGACAAAAAGAGGCAGGTGCCGTGCAATAACCTCCCCTGTCCCTGGTGGCATCGCCCCGTGCAGCACTGCAGCCTGGGCTCCCTCTCAGCATCGCTTGTTCCTTGCCCAGAGCTGAGCTGAGGTGCCCCAGCCCGCACCTTCCTCACAAAGGGTTTCTCAAATAAAGGAGCTGCAAAATATCCCCCCCTGACGCTGAGACCTGCCTAAACTCAGTTTCGCTCGTGGATTCCTCCCAGCCTGGGTTCTCAGGGGCGAGATGTTCTCTGCCTGCCTCCCGTGGGCACTGGACGTGGCAGGGGGAAGAGGCAGGAGCTGGCACCGCAGCGGGCACAGCCTGACAGCTAGGAGACGGCGCTCCCATTTACATCACGGGCTTCTGCAGGGAAACATTTTTCCACTATTTGTCACAACGTCTAACAGCTCTGGGGAGCCGAGCATGCTCTTGGCATGCCTGTACACCTCTCACAGCTACTGCTCTCCCAGGCAGGGGAACAGAGCGAGCACAGATGCCAGAGGGAAATGGAAGTGCCAAGGGCTGGTTTAAACACTTGGCCCGGCTGGCCGAGACCTCCTGCCTGCCCCCACCGCCCCACCCTCGTCCTTCCAGCCCTCTCCCCAAGAAAGCCCGGAGTTTTGCCTACCTGGCAATATACTTCTGGTAAATATTTACATCTTCGCTGACGGCTGGTTTGTCAGTGGGTAATCCGTTCCTAGTGAGAAACACACAGGGCAGAGCTGGTTAGCGGAGGGACAGGGCACGGCCGCGCTCCTGGTTTCGCTCTCACGCCTCGAGGTAACTGGGTACCCGTGTGCGGACCTGGGGTGGCCACGGGAAGACCAAGAGCTCCCTGAGCACCTTGCAATACCACCTGCTTTTGCAGAGATGAGGCATTTATGTACCTTAATCACTGAAAACCAAACAGCACCCAAATGCCAGATGAGCTCGGGTGACTAGGCACCGTTAGGAAGCAGACAGAAGTTGCATCCCACTCACCCTCTCCTCCTACTCACGGCAGCTCTGCAGCCTGGTTTAACAAGGACACCTTTGCCCAGGGTTTGCTTGGAGTAAGAGGAGCTCAGGGCAGGTTTCATAGCATTAGGTGGCAGAGCTGCAACCCATGGCTGGGATAGGTGCATATGTGTGAGAGCGAGGGGTAATTCCTGCCAGGTTTTTGGGCCCAGGGGGGTCTGAAGGGGAAGGCAGGTCCCAGACAGCAGGGAGCACCTCCTCCACCAGCACAGTTAATGAGCTGCCTTCCTTTAGCACAAAACCCTGTGCCTAGCAGGCAGCCTGAAGGAGAAGGATCAGAGCCACTCCAGTGCTCCGGCGTGTGATCAGGTGCCCCTGGTCACCCCCAGCCCCACCACCATGCCCCAGCCAAGGCAGTTTTGGGGCACGGGGAGGAGGGATCACCATGGTGCTGCAAACCCCATCCGCAGGCGGCAGGAAATGAGCACGAGAAAGGCAATCAGACCGGGATCCCAGCACAACGCGGAGGCAGAGGAGCGGAGGCTCGCAGCCCCCGCACACAGCTCGACGGTGGCCACGGCACAGCCAGCAGCTGAGCACCTTGGAGACCCGGCAGGCACAGAGCCCCCGGCCACAGTCACCCCTCACAACAAGGCACTGAGCCTCCAGGAACATTTACAGCAGTGGTTTTTAGTAAGAGCAGTGCCTGCCTGCCATCTGGAGCACGTACCAGCTTCGCCCCGACCGGGGAGCAGATGCGAACGGCTGTAATCCTTTACCCTCTGCCGTACAGCCAGGTGAGGATTCAGCCCAAGGCTTCCCAACAGTGAGGACAGGTAAATCCGAGCCATCAGAACAAAACAGGCACGTGCCTCCCTCCCTGCTTGCAGCCTGACTTGGATAAATCAGGGGACTGTAAGACTTAAAGGGTCTGTTGGGCAGAATTTGGCCCTTTTTCACGAGGCAGCAGAGGTTTCAGGACCCCCAGCAGCCCTGGCACTCTCACCGTGCCATGGCATGAACTGCAGCGTGGTGCTGTGTCTGTGCCCCTCGGTCCAACACTGCCTTTCCTGCAGCTCCCACCTCTGGAAGCCAAGCTACGAAGGAAGCCAAGGTTTGGCAAGGCCTTTGGCCATCTCCATTCAGTCCACAGCATCGCTGCAGAGATTGCCAGCACCGTGTGTGTAGGAGGTTATTAGTGGTAATTGGGCTAATGAGTTTGCCCAGTCTGGGGGGTAATTGAATCACCTCTATTTGTGTAAGGAACAGGCAAATTGAGAAGACACAGGCCTGGTCCCACAAAAGCACGTCTATGCCTAACTCCTATGAAAATTAATGGGAATTAGGCACTCAAATGTCTTCAGTGGTCTGGGACGCACAAAAGGGCCCCATCTTGCCAACAGCCAGCAGAGGTTTGCCATCGAGTTGGATGGCAGCAAGGCTCAGGCTCTCCTGCAGCCATGGCTGGCCGCCTGGGGCACCGCAGGGAGAAGGAAGGAAGCAGTTACGATCTCGACCTCAGAGTGCTGACAGCACCACGGCCCCTTATCTGTCCTTTCAGCATACAACCCCAGGAGCTAGTGGGCTCTGGATTCATGGCTGTGACTGCGGGAGGCAGGCCACGGCCTCAGTGCAGTCGAGACAAATGGAGCTGTAAGGCTGACAGAGGAACAGGCACGGAGCAAGCAGAAACATCTCATTAACGGCATGAGCTGTAATGCCCCTGCTCCACACGCAGGCTTTAGGCACGAACCCTAACACAAAGCTAAGAAGAGCAGGAGGACACTTACTTTACTGTAGAGACTGTTCCAGTTGTGATGGAGTCTGTCTTGGAGAAAGTTGACTTCAGGTACTCGGGAGTGTTGAATGGCAATGAGACGGACTGCTCCGGGCCGGCCACGGGCGTGCTGCTGGGGGTGCTGGCGAGGGGAGCAGGGGCCAGGCTGGGTGCTGGAGCCTTCACCGGAGTGAGCTTCTGGATGTTCCTCACGTCGTACTTGGAAGGGCGGCCCACCTTGCCTGTCTTGAAGGCGATGGCTCCTCCCATGTCCGGGCTTCCTTCTCCAGGCTTGAAGAGGTGCAGGTACTTGACGTTTTCTAGGTCGTACTTGGAGGCCTTCTTGTACGTGTTGCCGTTCTGTGGCCTGATGCTCTCGCCCGTCTTCAGCTTCTGAATGAAGAAGTCGTATTTGGAGGCCCGCGACATCAGGCCCTGCATCTGGGAACTGCTCGGAGAGGGCAGCGGCAGGATGGTGGCTTTGGTCTCCGTCAGCAGGGAGGCGTCGGGCCCCGGCACCCGGATGGGCTGCGACAGCACCGAGGAACCTTCCTTGCCCAGCTTGGAGCCCAGCTCCTCCGATTTGGCCAAGTGCATGGGCCAAGAGAGCTGCTCTCCAGCCTTCAGCTTGCGGATGTACTCCTCGTACTTGGAGAAGCGGGCTCGTTTGCTTAGGGCGTCCTCGCCGGAGAGAGAGGCCGCGGTGGCGGTGGCCTCTGAGGTAGCAGCGTTCAGCTTGTCGAAGCTGATCTTGCGGGCCAGCTCGTCCCGCATGTTCTGGTCATCGTAGCCAAACATGCCCAGGAACTCATTCATGGTGGTGGCCGCGTAGTCTCGCAGCGATGAAGCTTCCCCTGCAGAGAACCAGAGGGAGAGAGTCACGCCAGGGGCTGATTTTTCTTCTTCTCCTCCTCTACCGGCACTGGGAGCGGGGAGGGGGGGGCAAGGGAAGAGGGGAACATGATCTACTGACGTTTGGCTCACTTGTTAGGTTTTACGACTCTTAAATTAATTTGTTTTAAAAAAAAAAGTAATTAATACTGGGGTAAAATAAAAAGAGTTCATCAATGCCAGGAAAATCAATTTCCTAAATGTTCTAGCCGATGGCTTTTCAGTACATTAAACAAAGTTTCATAAATGTCTCTGCACTCTTGCCTTGGCCTAATATGAAGAAAAAGTAATTTTACTGGAAGTGAGACCGGCGCCGATACGCCGGGGTTCGCGCGGGTCTGTCCTTGTGTGCGGGTGCACGGGGATGGAGCTGGGGGGGACGGGGGGCAGCAGAAGGGATGGGGGTGCCCATGGAGTGGTGCAAAATGGGTCCAAGCCTTCTCCCCACTAGGATTGGGGCTGGGGACAGGAGACCCCAATGTGGGCTCCAGAGGGACTGCCTGTCCCTGTGGTTGGGGGCAGGAAGGGGAATGGGGAGCTGAGCCAACGCCGCCTGCCTCCGGTCTCCTCCTCCCTCCCCTGCTCCCCCAGCAGCCTCCCAGGCCACCGGGAGGGGAAGAACACACATCTGGAGGTCACCCAATATCAGTGGAAAGGAGGAAATAAAGATCGCTCTGACGTGGCAGCTTGGACTCATTCAGGCTTCAGTCTGACACAGCGTCCCTCCTCCTCCTCCTCCTCCTCCTCCTCCTCCTCCTCCTCCTCCTCCTCTCCCTCTTGCTTTCTCCCGCAGAGTAAGGATTTACTGTGTGCAGGAGCCCTTCAAACCTCCCTCGTCATCTCCTCCACTCCCTCCCTCGAGCTCTCGGGGGCACCAAGGCTCCCGGGGCAGCAGCAGGTGCCCCGGCAGCAGGTGGAGGTTTGGGTCCGGAGCTCAAACCCAACCAGTGCTGACTTGAAACGTGGCTGGAAAGGAAAGCATCAAGGCACAGAACTGGTCAATGGATCCGAGGTGTGAAAATGGACCCCTAGGAGCTGGGATCTGACAAGCTGGGATGCCAGATGCCTGGGCACGGATTTACTGGAGCACTTTTGCACACACAAGTCCCAGTGAGTGAGCGAAGTCCCAGCTCAGCAGCCACCAGCTCGCACAGATCTGTGTCCGTGGGACCATGCGGAGGGAGAGGCTGCCTGAAACAGGCACCAAAACGTGCACAACCATGAGAGTCACATTCCTGAGTCAATACTTTTCCACAGCCATCGAAATTATCCTTCACACACACATTTAATTTAATGAACTCAAATCATTCCGTCTTGCTTTCAGCTTGTTCTCTCTCCTACCTCTTCTTCTCTCCTCTCCACCTCCATCTCAGTGTAACCCTATGAGCAATAAAGGTGATTAATCCCCAGAAATCCCTGATGGGTCTAACAAGTGTTACAAGAAGCCCCCGTTTCTGTTAAATTTGTTCTGCTTTTCCCCCTTCTGGACCTGTACAAATCCCCCAGCCTCCTTCCCAATCCCTGACTTCCCAGCCTTGCACACAAAACCCCAGCCAGCCTGGGCCAAGCTGCAAGGCTCCAGGTGGAGAAAGCCCACCACAGATAGGATCCGAGAGGAAATTCAACGATCAGGTGTGCTTTTTGCTGCCTTGAACAAGCCAGCCCTTCCCCTTCTTCCTCCTGACGTGCAGCACACGGGACCCAGCAGGCAGCCAGACCCTGCCCAGCCCCACATCTCCAGTCGGTTCTGCAGATCCAGCTCAGCTCAGGCCCCACAGACTTATAAACCCAGGGAAGATATTTGAGGAAGCCTAGCATCTTCTTGTAATACCGGGGAAAATGCAATGCTGTAGGAGACCAGCTCCTTTCCAAATTTCTCTCTTCTGCACCTTTGGTGTTGGAAAGCGTCTTTGGTACCCGTGTGGCTAGACCTCAGCCGGCACAACAAGATGCACTACCCAAAACCATGGGAGAAGGTGATTTTTGAGGTCTTTTTTTGGGCTTTGCGAGGTCCGTGCATGAGTTTGGGTTTCAGTACCCTCGATTTAACCCCTCATCCCCCAAACCATCTCGCTTTCTGTCCCCTAAACCCACACCAACCCGCATTGACTCGCAGGGTGGCTGCCTGGAGGGCTTGAGGCTCTTCTGGTGGAGGCACCTAGGGGAAGGGCTCACCACGAAGAGGCTGAGACCCGGCCAAGCCCTGACTGTCCCCGACACACAGCTCCCCCCGGACCCCCAGCAGGCAGAGGCAAGGCAGCAGGACAGCGGCTGGGAAACAAAATCCCCGCGCCAAGTGCGCAGCCCTCCCCCTGCCTCGCATTTTTCTCTCTCCCCTTCTGTGTGATAACAAAAGGGCTCTCCCTCTCCCCTCGCTGCCGCTCTCCATTTGTGGGCATCGCCAAAGAGCAGAGATCCGTGTGTCTGGGAGCAGCTATCGTATCACAAAGGATCCCGAGCTGGCTAAAAGAAGAAAAAAAAAAAAAAGGGAAAAAAAAAAAAAAGGGGGGCTAAAAATAGCCTGCAGCAGCACACTATATATGGAAGGAAAAGCAAAACAGCCCAAATGGAGAGCAAGGTCTGGGTCCTGGGGGATGGGGCATCCCGGCTCTGCCCTGCAGCCTGCTTGGGAGGGGAAACGTGGAAATTTGGGGGCTGGAGAAGCTGGCGCTCGCCGTGCGTGTTCTCCCCAGTGGAGTCTCCCCAGGAAATTTTGGAGAGAAAGCCCTCCTTGCTGAGAGCAGGGCCAGTGTTCCCCTCCTGCAGGACGCAGCCAACAGGCTAAGAAAAGAAAGGAAAACTTTGAGAGCTTGCACGGGGGGAAGCTCCCGGTGACTGCGTTAGCCCAGTATGCGAGCAATGGGCAGAGGGAAGAGCACGGGATGGTGTAGGAAAATCTCCCGGGTATGTGGGCACCAGCGAGGGGGTGTAGGAAGGGATCGCTGTCAGAGCCTGCTCGGGGAAGCCTGAATGCTATATATAAATGTGTGTGCAGCAGCACGGGGCGGGCAGGGAGCAGGAGAGGTGTGTGAATGAAGGAGGAAACGCATCTGCATGTCCAGAGCCTGACACCCGTCTCCTGATGGACGCCAGCTTTGCGGCTCCTGCACAGCCTTCCCTGCTAATGGGGAGGGAGGAACAGAAGGCAAGGCTCAGCACCGACTCCTCAGGCCCTTGTTTCCAATGGGTGGCTCAGGAAAAAAACAGGGGCCCCAACAGGAGCCTCCTGCCACCCCCTGGGCACTGGAAAGAACTCCTTTGGGGTGCAGGCAGCCCCAAACCCCGTGGCAGGAATTTACCTTGCCCTCAGTAACACCAAGGGGGCTCGCTGCTGAAGAGCTTCGAGGCCATTTTCTGGAGCACAGCTTCTGACGAGGAGAACTTTGTCCTCTCCAGCACCAGAGGCTTCGCTCTGTGCTTTCCAAGGAAATGCCGCCACCCACGTTAGCGCCAGGCTTCTCGAAACGCACGCTCCAGACCTGGCAGCACGTCCCTTTGCCAGGCAAAACCTAAGTGGGGTGAACCTGACCCCGCACGTGCCGTTACCTGCCCTAAATATAAACGAGCCTCCAGCCCCCCACTGACTGCTTGCACATTTTTGTGTAGTCCCTTGACAACACAGCCCTAGGAAAGCATTTTCCTGAGAACTCCTACCCGACGAGAAACCTCTTCTTCTTCATTTTCCACAGGTTGGCAACGTATTTTTACATCCCAGGTTCCCCTCCTTTTAGTTTTCAGTGGCAAAGAAAAGCTGCAAATGCAGGCTGAAGGGAATTAAAACAAACTGAGAACTGAGTCCAGGCACAATCACCTTGTGTCTGGGAACGACAAGGGCTTTCCTATCAAAGGAAACTGAAGGTCACACTTTTCCTCATTGATCTTGCAATGTTTGTTAATTACTCTGTCACTGATGTGGCGAAGGATAATTAAACAGCTCTGTTTATATCTTATATGCATAATTATGTGCGCTGCCACTGAACTCGTGAAGACTAGAGAATGTGCCTCTCCAGAAGGGGAACGGACAGACGGAGATGAGTTTCGGCTGCATTATTAACAGGAGGAGGAAAACACGGGCACACACAAAAGGAGGAAAGTTTGATGGATTC